TCCCATTCCCAGGGCACTAGTAGCTATTACCAGGTGAATATTTCCATTGGGAGACATTAAATCAGACAGAACATTATCCTTAATGTCTTGAGGGGTCTTTGAGTGATACATGGCCACTTTACTTTTGCATGGAAGAAAGTGTTGAAAGGTGTCATAAATGTCACATGCTTTTAATGACAGACAGAAAACTACTGTTTTTTCAGCATGCGCATTGTTGACCATATCACTGATAAGCCAACCAAAGGTATCCTGCAGTTCATTCTTAGCCTTTTCGACAATGTATTTGACATTTCTTTTGTCAGGTGACATCCTGATGGTTTTGACAGATGTCATGTTTAACATCTTAATGATTTTTTTCCTTAACATTGTGCTGGCTGTCACAGTAAGGCAAAGCATTAGAACTTTCAGAATGGCTTTTATGTTGCCGACTCTAGAATAAGCAGCACGGAAAGGAGCTTGGCCATGACTACCAGTCCCCCTGAAAAAGTGTGACAGGAATATTACCATGTGAATAGAGCGGTTCTCATTTGCGTATTGAAAAATGATAGGTTTTGTATCAACTATGCAGGTTTAATTTGCTACACAATTGATTTAAAAAACCACTTTTTCATCTAATCGAGTAAAACCAAAACCAAGTATGACTCATTCTCATACATTTTCACATCTATGCATCAGCTACAAGTAATTACTGCGAGTTTTGATTGGTTTACTGTACTGTCAATGTCCTTTGTTTTACTTTGGTTTTGGTTTTACGGCACTGAATTCAAAACCACTCTATCCACAAGTCATAATATTAATAAGTAATTGATGTTGATTCATTGTAGCAAAGGTAAATTCAAGCCAAATGAATAATAAAGAGTATGCCTAGGTATAAATAAAAAGTGCTTTCTAGTAACTTAGTTTATATGTCAAACCAAACTATTATCATTATGATTAAATTATCACGCATATACAAACATGATTCCAGTTAATTCTTGGTTTTATTTATTTTATTTCACCTTTGTGCATCTAAGACAATAACAATGAACCAGTAAAGGATATATAACCTAAATATAAATATTACTCGTGATTTGCAAGAAGTTGAAAAAAGAAAAACAACTCACCAAGTAACCACGCAATGCGTTTCATCAATAACGACGCCAAAAATATTTTCACTCAGATTTGACAAACATTCGTCGTGCTTTTCCAAAGTCTCTGGACTAGAAAACAACACATCGACGGAATCGCCATCTTTAAATTCCTCGAACTTGACACCTGTTAAACCAAAAATCTCACAAGATCGGATCTGATCTTCGATCAGCGCAGTTAGTGGTGACACGACTAACAACATCGGACGGACAGGCAGAGAATACCAGAGTTCAGAGTGCTTTCGCAGTTCTTTTACGAGCGGAATCGCAAGTTGATAAATAAGAGATTTTCCGTGCCCGGTGGGCAAAGATACGAAAGTATCTGTCCCAGATGCGAAAGACTTAATAGCAGCCGACTGCTGCCTGCTCAGATCATGCACATTTTCAAAGTTGGAAACAACACGAAGCAGAGCATCGTCAAGCGTTTTCGAACGGTCTCCTTTCGCCGGCCCTTTCGCCGCCATGTCTTACTTGTTTGCAGTGGGCTCAGTTTCGACCATCGGTTTCTCGTAAAAATTGATGCTCGCACTAGAAAAACCAGTTTGACGACGGTAAACCGGAATGACTAGCCCAAGAATTGGGGCTACGGCGACTTCAAAAGATAAAGCAGATTTGTGCAGAATTTCCGTGTAATAAGAAATAAAACAAAAAGAGATAAAAGAGGCTCTGCTCGCAGGGTGCTGTAATGATACGAAAGCCTGAAAAAATTCAGACTTGAACAAAATTAAGACCCATGACCTCTGGGTTATTTACTGGTACAAGAAAACTTAGAGCTGATCGCGTTGTCAGTTGGAAATGTACATACCCGTAGACGGTATATGCTATAATAAGCACCTAATAAGCACTCTTCCCTACTCCAAATTCATTAAACAGCCTCTTTATACAAGCTAAGCGTACCCAAAGCGATAGTGACATTCAAGGCATTAAGGGGAAATGTCCACTAACTTGATCAAAAATCAAAATTTTTCATATTCCTCCCAGAGATAGCCTATGGTAAGCCTAGAAACGTGGTAGGTTTTTTTCTTGAACATTTTTTTTTAACGCGCCAAAAAATCAAAAATTCGTTACGGTCCCACATCTGGTCAAAAATACGCAAAATGTAGCGACTAATACCTTATCATAAACTTCGCTCTGTTCAATCCACATCACAATAACATTCCAGTTTGAGTCTGGAAACTTATTATTGAGGGGTTTACAAGTCTTGTGACGCCAGTTATACTGTTGTGGGTTAATTTTCAAGGCCACGACGGGCCGCTTAAAGTCACTAAAATTCGCTTCCTCAAAAGTCTTAATTATGCACACTTTTTCAATCGGCAAATTCGCTACCCGGTAAAACACCGAAACACATAAGACTCTGACATTTCGAAAGAAGA